AGAAAACTGTTAAAAAGTTCCAGGCAGGAAAAAAACATGATCTGATTGACAATTTTAAAAACTTCTATGCCTACTGTATGGCAAATGGATAAAAGGTGGACAGGTGCTGTGGCTACTACAGGTGTCCCACATAAGGGACAATAGCAGCTGAGGCAGAGATGGTGGCCACGGAGATGGTGAGGAGTAGTTGGACCAAGAGTATAACTTGGAGCTGCAACCTACACAATGTGATGTCAAATTGGGAGCGGAAGGCGAGGGAGAGGAACGTGTCAAGGATTCTCAGGTTTCTGGCCTGAGCAAGAGTGTGGAGGTGGCGATATTTCCTGAGAGGAGAAAGAGGAGAAAGTAAGAGTGGAATGTAGGACTTAGGGAGTTGGGCACACACTGGAGACATCCAGGCAAAGTGTTGGGGGGTGTCAGGGTACGAGGGTGCTCAGGCGTGAGTGCCAGTGGGTGAGAAGATAAATGAATGACCAAAGGAATTTAATGGGGGGACAGAAGAGTGGGTGCCATCACTAGAGTCTGAGGGACGCCTGCTGTCCTTGGAATCAGCAAGTCAGACTCTCTGGCTACGGGGAGTGGCCCTGACTCATCCTTCCACGTCCCCCTCCTTACAGGTTGGGAGAAATCTAGAGCCCACTAAGGACTTCTTCTAACGTGGTGGTGCACACTTTTGCAGTTTCGGGGAGAGAAGAGGCACTGGCTGAAAGGCAGCATGGGGCTGACTCCAGGTGGAAGGGGGGGAAGGGGAGGGTCACAGAGGTGGGCCTGGAAGCCCCTTCCCCAGTCTCTTTGCACAGCTGTCCAGGTCTAGCCTGCACTTCACGCTCTCCACCTCCAGGGAAGGGCAACTTGGTGACTCTGGCCCTGAGAACCCTCTTCCCCTCTCCCTCCTTCCCCGCCCCTCTGAGCCCCTCACACTGTCCTCCTGTGCCTGAAACGCTCTCTCCTCCCTGCTTCCTCCTAGTCATCTCCAAAGGCCTAGAGCCCTTCTCCTTCCTTTCTTCCACTTTCCTACCTGACTACATGGTCCTCCTCTGCTCTCCATGCCCCCAGTGCACCCTGTATTAGAGTCACCCGTTTCCAGTTCCCCATTAGACAATGAGCAGTTGAGGATACATCCTCAGCAGCTTTGCCATATTTTTTTACCTCTCATTCCGCACATACTCCTTGCTTAATGAATGCTGGTGAGTTGAATTAAAAATGCTTGATTTATACTTCTCAAGTTATGATTAAGATACCTCCATCTCCACCCTCCTCTCTAATAAGATGGTGTCAGGCTAGGGTTGGGAGGCTTCTTCTCTGGGTGACCTGTTCCAGCTCTGGATGGTTAAGAAAATTTTTTCTCACCAGATTCCAGGTCTGCAAAATGTACCAACCAAGCCTGTCTGCGGGCCCCCAGCCTTACTCAGCCACCGCTGAAAAGGACAGCAGGTGTTCTTTATTGGGAGCTCACAATATGGCAGGCGCTGTGCTAACCTCTTCACCTGCATTATCTTGATAAATGCTCTCAACAGCCCCATGATGTGGGCACTCTTATCCCCACTGCAGAGTTTAGGAGGTACATTCAGCAAGGTCAGGAGACTCAGGAGGGCCAAATAACTTCCCAAGGGCACTGAGCAACTTCCCGGTGGGTCTGTCTGACCTCAAGGTCTCTGTTTCTGATCACTTTGCCTTCTGACTGCCTGCCCCTCAGGAGGCCCCTCAGATGTAGCCACATAGAGGGACCTCAGCAGGACCCAGAGGATTATGGGAGGAAATTGCATGACTCGGTGACTCTGCTCCCCAGACCCCTCCCCCAGTTGCACAGAGATCTCCCCTCTGAGACTCCCCACCACTCCAGCCTGGGAGCCAAAGGCACAGTCTCTCTTGCCTGGGAAAGAGAGACACAACCCCTCACATCAGTGCCAGTAACGGTTTACCCACTTGGCTTCCTGTTAGGTTTTTTCTTCCTTCCCCGCAGAAGTATCTCTTATCTTAAGCTTCTTAAGGGGGTTTGTGCTGGGCTGTTTACCATTTAGTGACAGTTGGTGTCAGAACCAACCTCTTGGGAAAAGTGAGACAGAGGAAAGCAAGCCCAGGTGGGCCCTCAGTCATCCGCATGACCACAGGGTCTAGACCAGATGCAATAAGCAGGCCCCACACAGTCAATGCCAAAGGCAAGTCCAGCTATCCTGCCAGTGTCAGGCTCCATCTTCCACAGAGGGCTGATTTATGCAAGTGGAAGTGAGCTGGCTTGTCCTGAGCTCCCTCTGACTGCGATAAATAGGCATAGAGCTATAAATAACCCACCAAATGGATAACCGAGGGATGGCTGGGTCTGCTGGGCTAAGGGGCTTGCTTTGGTCCCTGAATTAGGAGCTCTGGGTTATTCATAAGTAATGCAAAATGAGAGAATCAGCTGTAGAATCTGGCCCTGCCTCATCCTTCCCCTCAGGTAAAGACCTCCTGATGCCTGCGGTGTGAGCTCCTTCTGATCCTGTGGCCTAGTTCCAAGTGTCCTGCATCCTCCTGGGGGCTCTATGGTATAGCCCAACCCTGGGTTCACATCACTCTGGGTCCCACCTTGCCCTTGACAACCTGCCCGGGACCCTTGGCAGTTTCGGGCCCCGTTCACACCTGGCCATCCTCACCCCTCACAAACACCAGAGCCCCATCCTCAGCTTTATTCAGTGCTGCCAGTCTGCTCATTCTTCCCCTCATCTGCTCCTGCCCCCAGATATCCATCTACCTGAGGGACCGCCTCCTGCCCAAACATTACTCTGTATCTCACCCTAGGAGGGCCAGGGCCTGGAGTCCTAATCACCAATTGCCTGTAGGCCAGCCAGCTCCCAAGACCCTTCACCATTATTGTTAGGCTGTTCAGAGTCCAGGAGTTCAAGGCCAACCCAGATCTAACTAACCCTGGACTTCGTCCAATTCCTCCCAGCTATGCAGCATCTGAGCCATGTATAGAACAGATGCAACAAACAGAGAGATAGAGCTGACTTGGGTTTAATTGGAAGAAACTCTCCAAAAGCAACCAGGGATGAGTACGGCCTAGGGCTAGGTTGGTTAAACTCTGACCGGAGATAGAAAAGAGATGGTTTCATTTGGTTACCCAGAAATGGGATTCCCACAGCCAGGTGGTGCTCCAAGAGCTAGACCCTTGGATCCCCCAACTTTAGTTGAGATGCAACCAAAACTTAGGGGAATGGCCCAGATGGAATTCCAGCAGCCTTACTAACTCACCAGACTGGAACCCTGAGATCTAGGAAAAAAGGCAGCAATTAATCTCTCAGATGCTGCCTTGCATCATGGTCATGGAGAAGACGAGGCGTACATGTAAAAGCAACACCTGAGGAAGGAGGAGCCGGCGTGAGAGCCTCAGGTGGCTGTGCCCAGTGCCTCAGCTGCCTGCCTGCCCCCACAACGAGGCAGGGCAGGGCTACCCAGGAGGTGCTTGAGGGAGGGCTGAGAA